ACTTATGACTGTATTATGATTTATTGAAAAAAATGTTAATGTATTAAAAATTATGGATGCAAAAAAATGAACGTTTTAAGTTAAATATATGGATGTAGAAAATATTAAAGAAAGAATGTTCTAACCAAGTTAATATAAGTTTTAATTATGGATGACTTTTTTAGATGTACAATAAGAGGGGTGGGTGTAAAAAATAAGTTTATACTTCTACCCACTCCCTTGAACGTGTTTGGTTTTAAATTTATTTTTCTTTTGTACATAACTTTGTTTCTTTTAAATTTATGACGTTCAATAAAGTCTAAACTAAAACTAACTAAAAACCAAAGACCTTTAGCTCTGTCCCAGTAGAGAACACTGTATATTTTCATACTTCATGATCCARGTGAATCCACAAGAACAACACTCTGAAGAAGTGTAAAGTAAAGGAAGCACAGCTGTGAGGAGTGATGACAGGACACATTCATCACAGATGATGTAACGTCTGACTTCATTATTTCTACGAGGTGTTTGATCAACTCTTCATATCTCTGCTCGTTACTTTGATGTGTAGTTTCAGCCTCAAGGCTTCCTGCAATTACACATCAGCAGCAACAACACTGGACATTGTTAGCCAAGTACAATATACAAACTCAAGCAGAGCTTTGATCATAGTTTTGTGTTTATTTATGCTCAAGTCATTTTTCAATAGGACTTTCATAAAAAACACAAAATACAGAGAACAGCAAGTTTTACTACATAATAGCAGTCTTTGTAAAATGTTACTATAAAAAGCTAAGTTTTGAGTTTGGCATGTTTGCAATGTTGTATAAAGTACCTCAAAGTGATACTTGAGTAAAAGTACAAGTGACAGGGTTTGGCAGGAAAAAACCCAGGGTGCAGGCAGGCTCCATGAATATAACAAAAAGATTTATTAACTAACAAAAATGTACTGAAGGCAGCTCAAAACTTACAGGTAGACGATGATCACAAGCAGGGGGAACAGAACACAACGAACCAACATCAGACTGAGACAAGACAGGACTTAAATACACTGAAAACTAATGAATGAACAGAAAACACCTGGTGAGAAACACGAGGGTGACAACCAGACTAATAAGGAGCAGCTGGGCTGAGACACACTGGGGAACATAGAAACACTAGGAAAACCAAGGTGAAAACTGACAAACCARGACAACAAGTATCTTACCGTAAATTTACTTTAGTAAAAGTTCAAGTCTCCTCTAAGATTATTACTTGAGTAAAAGTCTTAAAGAATCTACTATATGTTGTACTTACGTATTAAAAGTAAATTTCTGACATAAAATATACTTAAGTATTAAAAGTAAAT